TTCTGGGGCGTTTTGGAGGGGGCTCGGAGGGGTTCTGGGGAGTTCTGGGGGGTTCCAGGGTGGGTCCTGGGGGGTCCCGGGGGGTCCCGGGGAATATGGGGGGGGTCCCGGGGGTCTCAGCCCCGGCCGCGCCCCCCAGGTTCCGCCGGCTGTGCCACTACATCGTGAACCTGCGCTATTTCGAGATGTGCATCCTCATGGTGATCGCCATGAGCAGCATCGCGCTGGCGGCCGAGGACCCGGTGCAGCCCAACGCGCCCCGCAACAACGTGAGCCCCCTCCCCAAATTCCGTGCGACCCCTCCCCAAATCCTGCCCAACGCGCCCCGCAACGTGAGACCCCTCCCCAAATTGGGCCAGACCCCTCCCCAAATCCTGACCGAGACCCTCCCCAAATCCTGCCCAACATGCCCCACAACAATGTCAGACCCCTCCCCAATTCCTACCCAACGGCCCGGGCTCTGTCCCGCTCGCTGTTGTCGCTTTGCCGTTTGTCACCGCGTCCGTGTGTCCGTCCTGTGCCCGTGCCGTGGGGGGAGCCCGAGTAAAGGGGGAGTATCCTGTGAGTAAAGGGGGAGTATCCTGTGAGTAAAGGGTGAGAATCCCCCCAGTGTCTCAGCAGCTGTAAAAGAAAGTCTGAGCATCCCCCGAGTAAAGTTTGAGCATCCTCTGAGTAAAGTTTGAGCATCCCCTGAGTAAACTCTGAGCATCCCCTGAGTAACTAAGCAGCCCTAAAGTAAAGTCTGAGCATCCTCCGAGTAACTGAGCCACCTCCAAGGCTGGCCTGAGCATCCTCCCAGTAAAGTTTGTGCATCCTCTGAGTAAAGCCTGAGCATCCTCTGAGTGAAGCCTGAGCATCCTCTGAGTAAAATTTGAGCACCCCCTGAGTAAAGTTTGAGCATCCCCTGAGTAACTGAGCCGCCTCCAAGGCTGGGCATGAGCATCCTCTGAGTAAAGTCTGAGCATCCTCTGAGTAAAGTCTGAGCATTCCCCGAATAACTGAGCAGCCCTAAAGTCTGAGCATCCCCCGAGTAAAGTCTGAGTAAAGTCTGAGCATTCTCTGAGTAAAGTTTGAGCATCCCCTGAGTAAAGTCTGGGCATCCTCTGAGTAAAGTCTGAGTAAAGTTTGAGCATCCCCTGAGTAAAGTCTGGGCATCCTCTGAGTAAAGTCTGAGTAAAGTTTGAGCATCCCCTGAGTAAAGTCTGAGTAAAGTCTGAGCATTCTCTGAGTAAAGTCTGAGCATTCTCTGAGTAAAGTCTGAGCATTCTCTGAGTAAAGTCTGAGCATCCCCTGAGTAAAGTCTGAGCATCCTCTGAGTAAAGTCTGAGTAAAGTCTGAGCATCCCCCGGGTAACCGAGCCGCCCCCGAGGCTGTGCTGAGCATCCCCCGAGCCCCAGCAGCCCCTGAGTAAGCCGGGAGTAACCCCGGAGCAGACCCCGGAGGGGGGGCTGCCCCGAGGGTCCCCCCCTCCCTCGGGGGGCTCCGGGGGTCCCGGGGGAGGGGAGGGGTCTCTGTCTGACCGTGCCTTGTCTTTCCTCCGCCTCCCTCCGCCGCAGGAGCAGCTCACGGTAAATCCTTCAGCCTTCGTCTCCCTCCTCGTCCTCGTCCTCGTCCTCTTCCTCGTGCTCGTGCTCGTGCCTCGCTCCCCCCGCCCCAAATTCCCACGCCCCCTCCCCAAAATAAACCCCAAACCCGCCTCAGGTTGGGGCGGGGGGAAGGGCTGGGATTGGAGGGAGGGAAAAGGGGGAGGGGAGGAGGGGGGAGGGGAGCAGCCTTCTTACTTTTTTCCTGCAAGGGTGTATTTTTTTCTCCTTTAGGAGAATAATTTTACTAGGTAAATTAAAATTTTCATGGTGGAGAGCAAAAGATCTTGCAGTTAAGGGAAAAGTACAGCTTTAAGGCTTTAGTCCCAATATCTGGAAGAAAAAGAGTAACAAAAATAGATCAAAAACTATTTTGAAAAGTGGAAAAATGGACAATCTCTTTTTTGATTTTATATCCCCTAGAAGAAAAGTTTTTAACTTACTGAGTTAAATATTGACAACATTGTACCAATAAGTGTGTGGGGACCTTTTCAAACAGCTGGAACATTATAGATTTTTGCAAGTTCACAAGTCCTGTGCTCACATTTCCAGGAAAAGCTGCTGTCTAATACAAAGCTAAATGCCCCAGGGACATTGAAGTGAACATATTTTTCTGCTGGTTTAAGCACACCAGCAGTCATTTGTAGAGTTTACATGTCTTTCTTGTCAATACCTGCTGGTCACAGTTGGTGAAGAAGCAGTTTCATTTACAATCTGCTTGCTAATTAAGCATGGCAGCAGCCATTCAGAGTGAAATTTTCAATAACTTGACACACAAAAGGAAAGAATCAGATGTATTCTCACAAGACTTCAATCTTTAAATCATTTGGATTCTGTAGTTACTGGAACTGAAAGATAACAGAAATTACTGTGTCAGATTAACATGTGACTCTTCTGATAAACTATAATATACTGTATGTAGGATGAATGTTTTAACCCTGATGTTCTACAACAACATTATTTAAGAGAAGGAAAGTTAAAAGGATTTGAAATAATCCCAACATAGGCCAAAAATCTATATAGCCTTCTGCTCCTCCTCATTTTCTTCAGCAGTTTATAATCTATCCTTTTCTGTTGACATCTTTCATCACCTAGCTGTGCTTCATGACTGCTGCCCATTGCTGTACTTGCAGGAGGATTGCACAGTTGGTGCTCTTCTGCACACAAAACATCCTAGAAAGCATCAGCAAAGCCTCTGTTTCAAATTCTTTGTTTCCTTGACCTTCAAAAGCCAGGTGTTTCTTTACTGAATGATTATAATCTCACATCTTACTGCTGCCTTTTATTATATCCTCCTCCTCGGTTTGTATCCATGTGCTGTCTGATAGCTCATGCTTGTATTACACTCTTAGGCAGAAGTCTTTGACATTTGTACAGCCCCTCCCAGTGCCCCCAGTTTCCCTCCCAGTCCATCCCAGTCCATCCCAGTCCCCCCCAGTTTATCCCAGTTCCATTTTTGGCCCTCCCAGTCCCCCCCAGTATAAACCAGTTCCCCCCCCAGTCCATCCCAGTCCCTCCCAGTCCCCCCCAGTCCATCCCAGTCCCTCCCAGTCCATCCCAGTCCCTCCCAGTTCCCCCCTGCCCGGGCTCTGTCCCGCTCGCTGTTGTCGCTTTGCCGTTTGTCACCGCGTCCGTGTGTCCGTCCTGTGCCCGTGCGTGGGGGGAGCCCGAGTAAAGGGGGAGTATCCTGTGAGTAAAGGGTGAGAATCCCCCCAGTGTCTCAGCAGCTGTAAAAGAAAGTCTGAGCATCCCCCGAGTAAAGTTTGAGCATCCTCTGAGTAAAGTTTGAGCATCCCCTGAGTAAACTCTGAGCATCCCCTGAGTAACTAAGCAGCCCTAAAGTAAAGTCTGAGCATCCCCCGAGTAACTGAGCCACCTCCAAGGCTGGCCTGAGCATCCTCCCAGTAAAGTTTGTGCATCCTCTGAGTAAAGCCTGAGCATCCTCTGAGTGAAGCCTGAGCATCCTCTGAGTAAAATTTGAGCACCCCCTGAGTAAAGTTTGAGCATCCCCTGAGTAACTGAGCCGCCTCCAAGGCTGGGCATGAGCATCCTCTGAGTAAAGTCTGAGCATCCTCTGAGTAAAGTCTGAGCATTCCCCGAATAACTGAGCAGCCCTAAAGTCTGAGCATCCCCCGAGTAAAGTCTGAGTAAAGTCTGAGCATTCTCTGAGTAAAGTTTGAGCATCCCCTGAGTAAACTCTGAGCATCCCCTGAGTAACTAAGCAGCCCTAAAGTAAAGTCTGAGCATCCTCCGAGTAACTGAGCCACCTCCAAGGCTGGCCTGAGCATCCTCCCAGTAAAGTTTGTGCATCCTCTGAGTAAAGCCTGAGCATCCTCTGAGTGAAGCCTGAGCATCCTCTGAGTAAAATTTGAGCACCCCCTGAGTAAAGTTTGAGCATCCCCTGAGTAACTGAGCCGCCTCCAAGGCTGGGCATGAGCATCCTCTGAGTAAAGTCTGAGCATCCTCTGAGTAAAGTCTGAGCATCCTCTGAGTAAAGTCTGAGCATCCTCTGAGTAAAGTCTGAGCATCCTCTGAGTAAAGTCTGAGCATCCTCTGAGTAAAGTCTGAGCATCCTCTGAGTAAAGTCTGAGCATCCTCTGAGTAAAGTCTGAGCATCCTCTGAGTAAAGTCTGAGCATCCTCTGAGTAAAGTCTGAGCATCCTCTGAGTAAAGTCTGAGCATTCCCCGAATAACTGAGCAGCCCTAAAGTCTGAGCATCCCCCGAGTAAAGTCTGAGTAAAGTCTGAGCATTCTCTGAGTAAAGTTTGAGCATCCCCTGAGTAAAGTCTGGGCATCCTCTGAGTAAAGTCTGAGTAAAGTTTGAGCATCCCCTGAGTAAAGTCTGAGTAAAGTCTGAGCATTCTCTGAGTAAAGTCTGAGCATTCTCTGAGTAAAGTCTGAGCATTCTCTGAGTAAAGTCTGAGCATCCCCTGAGTAAAGTCTGAGCATCCTCTGAGTAAAGTCTGAGTAAAGTCTGAGGAGCCGCCTCCAAGGCTGGGCATGAGCATCCTCTGAGTAAAGTCTGAGCATCCTCTGAGTAAAGTCTGAGCATTCCCCGAATAACTGAGCAGCCCTAAAGTCTGAGCATCCCCCGAGTAAAGTCTGAGTAAAGTCTGAGCATTCTCTGAGTAAAGTCTGAGCATCCCCTGAGTAAAGTCTGAGCATCCTCTGAGTAAAGTCTGAGCATCCCCCGGGTAACCGAGCCGCCCCCGAGGCTGTGCTGAGCATCCCCCGAGCCCCAGCAGCCCCTGAGTAAGCCGGGAGTAACCCCGGAGCAGACCCCGGAGGGGGGGCTGCCCCGAGGGTCCCCCCCTCCCTCGGGGGGCTCCGGGGGTCCCGGGGGGAGGGGAGGGGTCTCTGTCTGACCGTGCCTTGTCTTTCCTCCGCCTCCCTCCGCCGCAGGAGCAGCTCACGGTAAATCCTTCAGCCTTCGTCTCCCTCCTCGTCCTCGTCCTCGTCCTCTTCCTCGTGCTCGTGCTCGTGCCTCGCTCCCCCCGCCCCAAATTCCCACGCCCCCTCCCCAAAATAAACCCCAAACCCGCCTCAGGTTGGGGCGGGGGGAAGGGCTGGGATTGGAGGGAGGGAAAAGGGGGAGGGGAGGAGGGGGGAGGGGAGCAGCAATATCATACCAATATACAATATAATACAACATAATACAGTATAACACAATATAATGCACTAAAATATTATATAGTACAATATAATACAATATAATATAATATCACATAATACAATATAGTACAATATAGTACAATATAATACAATAAAATATAATATAATACAATATAGTACAATATAATACAATATAATACAATATAGTACAGTATAATACAATACAATACAATATAATACAATGTAGTACAATATAATACAATACAATACAAGTACAGTATAATGCAATATAATACAATAAAATTAATATAGTAAAATATAGTACAATACAATACAATATGATACACTATAAAATATAAAATATAATATAATACAACATAATACAATACAATACAATATAATACAATAAAATACAATATGATACAATATAATACAATATCGTACAATACATTACACTATAAAATCCAACCCCGCTCCCCTCAGGCCGTGTTCGACTGCGTGGTGAACTCGCTCAAGAACGTGCTCAACATCCTCATCGTCTACATGCTCTTCATGTTCATCTTCGCCGTGGTGGCCGTGCAGCTCTTCAAGGGCAAGTTCTTCTACTGCACCGACGAGTCCAAGGAGTTCGAGAAGGACTGCAGGTAGGGCCGGCCCGCGGGGCCGCGCGCCCCCCGCCCGGCCCTCGCCCACCCGCGCCCCTCCCCGCCAGGGGCGAGTACCTGGTCTACGAGAAGGACAACGAGGTGAAGGCGCAGAAGCGCGAGTGGAAGAAGTACGAGTTCCACTACGACAACGTGCTCTGGGCGCTGCTGACGCTCTTCACCGTCTCCACCGGAGAGGGCTGGCCGCAGTGAGGAGGGGGCTGTGAGGGGGGCAGCGGGACCCCAGACCCAAACCCAACCCTGGTGTCACCTGGTGTAACCCCAGTGTCAACTGGGTACCTAATGTGTCACCGTAGTAAGGATGGCATTTGGGGATGGGGGCTTGAGGGGGGGCAGCGGGACCCCAGACCCAAATCCAACCCCAGTGTCCCCTGGTGTGACCCCAGTGCCACCCAGGTACCCAGTGTCACCCTAGCACATCCCCCAGTTAAGTCCCAATGCCACCCCAGCATGCCCCCTGGTGCAATCCCAGTGCCACCCCAGTGTCACCTGGTGTGACCCCAGTGCCACCTGGTGCTCTGGGGGGGGCAGAGGGACCCCAGCCCCAAATCTGTGCCCCCTCAGGGTGCTCAAGCACTCGGTGGACGCCACGTACGAGAACCAAGGGCCCAGCCCCGGGTACCGCATGGAGATGTCCATCTTCTACGTCGTCTACTTCGTGGTCTTCCCCTTCTTCTTCGTCAACATCTTCGTGGCCCTCATCATCATCACCTTCCAGGAGCAGGGCGACAAGATGATGGAGGAGTACAGCCTGGAGAAGAACGAGGTGCGGGGCTGTGGGGGCACGGCGGGGGGACAGCCCCGGGTCACTGCCTGGGGGGGACACCGCTGTGTCACTGCTGGGGGGGGGACACCGCTGTGTCACTCCTGGGGGGACACCTCTGTGTTACTGCTGGGGTGGGGGACACCCCCGTGTCCATACTGGGATGGGTGACCCCCCCGTGTCCCCCCGGGGTGGGTGACACCCCCCGGGGTGGGTGACACCCCCATGTCCCCATTGGGATGGGTGACACCCCATGTCCATACTGGGATGGGTGACACCATCTCCACACTGGGGTGGGTGACCTCCCCGTGTCCCCCCGGGGTGGGTGACACCCCCCGGGGTGGGTGACCCGCCGTGTCCCCCCGGGGTGGGTGACACCCCCCGGGGTGGGTGACCCCCCGTGTCCCCCCGGGGTGGGTGACCCCCTGTGTCCCCCCGGGGTGGGTGACACCCCTCGGGGTGGGTGACCCCCCGTGTCCCCCCGGGGTGGGTGACACCCCCCGGGGTGGGTGACACCCCCATGTCCCCATTGGGATGGATGACACCCCATGTCCATACTGGGATGGGTGACACCATCTCCACACTGGGGTGGGTGACCCCCCCGTGTCTCCCCGGGGTGGGTGACACCCCCCGGGGTGGGTGACACCCCCCGGGCTGGGTGACACCCCCGTGTCCCCATGCAGAGAGCCTGCATCGACTTTGCCATCAGCGCCAAGCCGCTGACGCGGCACATGCCCCAGAACCGCCAGAGCTTCCAGTACCGCATGTGGCAGTTCGTGGTGTCCCCTCCCTTCGAGTACACCATCATGGCCATGATCGCCCTCAACACCATCGTGCTCATGATGAAGGTGGGCTGGGGGGGCTGGGGGCACCCCCAGGGGTTGTTGGCAGCCCCCCCGAGCCCCCCAAATCCTCCTGGTGCTGGGGTTTGTCCTGCTCTGTCACCTCTGTGCTCTGGACCTGTTCCTGGAGCTCAGCTTTGTCCTGCAGCTCTGTCCCCACTGTCCCTGTCCCTGTCCCCCCCAGAAGCCCCCCTGGCATCCAGGAAATGCCCCTGTCCCCCCAGGACCTGTCCCTATCCCCCAGGACCTGTCCCTGTCCCCTGACCCACCCCGAGTCCACTGTACCCACTCCTGGAGCTCAGCTTTGTCCTGCAGCTCTGTCCCCACTGTCCCTGTCCCTGTCCCCCCCAGAACACCCCCTGGGATCCAGGAAACGCCCCTGTCCCTGTCCCTGTCCCTGTCCCTGTCCCTGTCCCTGCCCCTGTCCCTGTCCCTGTCCCTGTCCCTGTCCCTGTCCCTGTCCCCTGACCCCCCCGCACCCCGCAATGTCCCCCTGTCCCCGCTGTCCCCGCAGTTCTACGACGCCTCCGACACCTACGAGAACGTGCTCAAGATGTTCAACAACGTCTTCACCTCCCTCTTCTCCCTCGAGTGTCTCCTCAAGATCATGGCCTTCGGGGTCCTGGTATGGGGGGACCCCGGGGTTGGGGGGACCCCCGGACCACCCCGGGGACCCTGGGGACACGGGGGGTGACAAGACGTCAGGGAACCCCGGGAATGTTGGGGTCCCCAAAACCTCAGGGGATCCCAAGATTTTAGGAGACCCCAAAACCTCAGGAGACCCCAAAATCTCAGGGGACCCCAAGACCTCAGGGGACACCAAAACCTCAGGAGACCCCAAAACTTCAGGAGACTCCAAGAATCTCAGGAGACCCCAAAACTCAGGGAACACCAGGGACCTCAGGAGACCCCAGGAATGCTGGGGTCCCCAAAACCTCAGGGGATCTCAGGAACATCAGGAGACCTCAAAACCTCGGGGGACCCCAAAACCTCAGGGGATCCCAGAACCTCAGGGACCCCAACGACCTCCTGAGCGCCCCAGATCTGTCACCCGGCAGATCCTGGGTGCAGGGCTCCACCCTGGGGTCACCCCGAGGTTTCTGGGGCCAGCCCGGGGTACCCCAAGCCCGGTGACCCCACATCCTGTCCCGTTCCCAGAATTACTTCCGCGACGCCTGGAACGTCTTCGACTTCGTGACGGTGCTGGGCAGCATCACCGACATCCTGGTGACGGAATTCGGGGTAGGTGGGCGCCGCCGCCACCCCTGCCCCCATTTCTGGGGTCCCCTTTGCCCCCCTCACCCCTTTTTTTTTATTTTTTTCCCTCCACAACACCAGAACAACTTCATCAACCTGAGCTTCCTGCGGCTGTTCCGCGCCGCGCGCCTCATCAAGCTGCTGCGCCAGGGCTACACCATCCGCATCCTGCTCTGGACCTTCGTCCAGTCCTTCAAGGTGCCCCCCAAAAACCCCCCCAAAACCCCCCCCCTGCCCCCCCAGACAGGTGTGGGTGAGACCCCCGGGAGAGACCCCCAGATGCAGGTGAGACCCCCGGGTGTAGGTGAGACCCTCCTGTGTAGGTGAGACCCCTGGGCGAGGGGGAGACCCCCGGGTGCAGGTAAGACCCCCGGGCGAGACCCCCCAGGTAAGGGGGAGACCCCCGGGTGCAGGTGAGACCCGCGGGTGTAGGTGAGACCCCTGGGCAAGGGGGAGACCCCCGAGCAAGGGTGAGACCCCCCAGGTGCAGGTGAGACCCCCAGGTGCAGGTGATGCCCCCAGGTTCAGGTGACACCCCCAGGTGTAGTTGACCCCCCCAGAGGTGCAGGTGACCCCCCCAGGTCCAGGTGACCCCCCCCAGTTTCAGGTGACCCCCCCTGGTCCAGGTGACCCCCCCCCAGGTTCAGGTGACCCCCCCAGCTGCAG